TAATATGAATTAATGCCAGCGAAGACAACCGCTCCATGCCCATTGTTGCCCGGGTGTAGTGATGGAGTCGATGAAGGACACTGGCTGACCGCTCGCACTCTGCACTCGTCACCGGTAATGTACATGCTAGCTTAAGCAAGACATACATGTTTCAAAACCTCAACACACACTCTAATGGCAAGAGCAGGAGAATCAGGTGGGTTTGGGTGATGCTGGAATCCGGCTCTCCAGCGTTCATACTCTTCCTGCACCAATCCTGGTGATGGCAGATCATCTGTATACGCCAGGCTGTCAATGTCGCACTCACGCTTCACTGCAACTTGTGGAACTAAGCATAGTAGTTTACTTGCCCTCTTGGATAGATCTAAAAAATGAAAGCGAACAAATATTGTACTTATACGTATTTTGATAACATTTCCAGGACCAAATTCCAGTTGAAACTAATTAAAGCAAACTGGAACCAGTTGGCCAACTGGCAAGGTTTCAATAGGGAAATTGGAACAGCTTGTTCCAATTGAAACCAGTTGCCAATTGGTTACGGTTAAAACCAATTGGGCAACTGGAACCAACTGATTTTCCATACAGCCCTAAATTAGTCTAGGCCTAGGCCCCCTAGTTAAAATATGCTAGTCACCCCTGTGTAACCAAGACTTCACCAAACCAGGCAAATCCCGAGCTGATTTGTTGTATGCAAGCGCCTAGCTCTAGCTAGGCAAGGTCTAGTTTAGCCTAGGGCCAGGGTAGGGCATAGCTCTAGGGCCTAGCTCTAGACGATATTCGGAACCCGGCCGACGCGACGCGCGATTGACGAATGACTTCGCTGTGCCCAGCAGCAGCCTACTGAAGCTCACTCACAATCACACTTCTTAGTTAGCTCGCTGAACTCCAGACTTTTTGCAGTCAAGTGAGTCACAGGCCTGACACTAGGCCCTGGCCTAATTTATAAATTTACACTCAGGCCCTACAACATTTTAAATTTTATTATACTTAAGTTAAATCCCAAAATGGCTGATATTTTATTAATTGAGGGAAAAATACGACAAAACTTACCAGGACAAGTAAACAAGATGCCTCGCCTGGCACGTTGAGATTGAGAAATGTAGGCTAGGCGCGGCTGCACGTACGTAGCGCGTATTATTTGCGATAAAAGGTCACAATGAGAGTACGATCGACGCACTTTTCTTTATTTATTCTTTTTTTTAGCTTCGGTGTGAACTGAGTAGATCTGGTAGACTGCTAGTATGAATGAAGAGTTGTAATTCTCTACACGTAAAATTCTTGTCTATATCAAGACCACCTGCAATGATTCGCAGAATGCTTTGCAGGCTTGTGACGTAAGAATCGGAAACATTGGAGAATCCCGAGAGTTCACCAACTAACGATCTATTTATAGGTGGTCTTTTTCATGATGCGCATGTTTACAATGTACCTTTATTAGATAGACACAAATCTCGATGATTTCGACTCGACGGCGCGATTTTCAGAACGCCGCTTATTGTGATTCAAATTAGGAGTGGAAGAACTCTTCTCAAAGAATGTTTCCCCACCCCTCCCCACCCCCTACCATTTTTTTTTTCTTTTCTTCTTCTTTTTTTTTAATTTTATTTTTTTTAATTTTTTAATTTTTTTTTTTTATTTTGGGTCTGGAAGGGGGTGCGTTCGCACCCTCCGCACCCCCTGGCGACGCCACTGTATTATATACTTTTTAAAGCAAAGACCACAACACAACACTGGGCCATTTTGAGGTAGGTGTGACCCTACTCAGATGTAGAATGAAATACGTTACCAACCAATCGAAAAACTTCCAAGATTAGTAAACAAGATACCAGCTTAAAATAACTTTATCATAGACTTGTTTATTAGAGAAAAACCAGGCCATTAGGTAGGGTGATGCAAGGGGTGCAGACGTGAACCACGCCCGTATCTAAGATTGCCCGTATGCAGGGTGATGCAGAGGGTGCAGACGCACCCCCTAATTGCAAAAGGTCCACTTTCTTTAAACATTGCACTAAAATCGTTTTGAAATCGCAGAATGCTATGATCATTGCATGCATCAGTATTTCATTTGGCAGTTCTTTTAAACCGTTTGAATACTGTAACTATACACGTTTTGTTGGAAATTTATCTGATTCGGTGACTGCAGATTGATCAATATGAAAAACAAGTTTTGATATAAGTAGGCACACATTGGAATGGACATAAAACTTTACTTTTACAGGGCCCTAACTACACCCAAGTGAATGGAAATTAAAAAATAATAATAATAAAAGCCCACATGTTCTTATTGCTTTAATTACTCTTTGGTGTTATGTTTTTATATTGCATTTGAGTCATTGGATTAAGTGCACAGAGATGATTTACCAGTACCATACAAATCAAAATGTTAAATCGATATTCCTATCATGAGCACAGTAGACAAGGATTCATCTATCCATTTATTAACTAAACTTGGGTGGTCCATTAATTAATTCTTTTCATTCTACCACACCTGCTTAGCGTGATGGGGAAAAAACAACAAAGTGACTTGCCATGCAGTGAAAAATCAATTGGAAACATTTTAATTGACTAATAGAGTTAGTTGAATAGGATTAGAGTTAGGAACACTTTCAGCTATTAATATTTAAGTCAACATATTATGTTCAATATCGATTTTGAACAAAAAACACTTGTTTCAATACAGTAAATAAAAATAACATCACTTGAAATGAATGGGTAAAATGACTAAAACACTATGTTCTCTCATCATACACCTACGACTAAATACCTACATGCAGCCCTCAAAATTAGGAAAAAAGTAGGTCGGCAAAAATAAAATGAAAATCGCCGGCGCTATAAAATTAACGCCGGTTATAACTTCGGCAGTTTTTAGTTTCTGCTGCAGCCATGAAATCAACCCTGTTATAGCAGTGAGTATGTCTTTTTAAGTCACCCAACTGGAAAGCCGGTAGTCTACGTACTGATGTTCAAATTCACAAGTACGTTTTGATAAAATTTAAACTTCTACAAACCGAACGAACAGTTAATAAACAACGGACGAAATAACGCAATAATCATCGCTGTCTGTTAATTAACAACTAGGCCTAGCACAACATCATGTGAATGACCCGTCGTACAGCTAGCTCAGTCCCAAAAGCATTGCCATAGATATTATCTATTGATTAAAACGACCCACTAGTAAGCCAATCGTTAATGTTAGATTATGTGAAAGTTAATGTACGCCTTCCCCATTGTTTATAAAGTGCATTATCACCTAGGGCCAATCCTTAAAAATCGATTTCAATTAATTCCTGAAATGAAGACGGAACTCAAAGCAGGTTCCTACGATGGCTGACTTTTTTCAGTAGAAGTTTCGGATTTGGATGTCGTAGATTTCATCAGTGTAAATTACAAATGCATAGATGTATTCATTCCTCAAAAACATGTTGCTAATTACGGAGGAAATTTGAAGAGAATGAAAGTCTTTTTACATATATTTAGATTTGATTGTAAAACAAAACCACAAGGGTTTCTTACTTGTTTTAATAATTCTCTTTAATTAAAAATTAATCAGTTTACACTGAGCTTGTTCATGTCTGCAAGACATCCATGACCCACGAACAAAATTTACTAATTAGTGGGCAGAATTTAGGAGGCTTGACCACAACACCAGCTTATTTAGACAACGTGATTGATAGTCAGTCCAGTAAAATATCACCTTAACCGTTGCATAGACTTAGTAGTCAACGAAATTCTCACCATATGTTCTATATATTATGTAAACACCATATATCGATGTTGCGTCGCATGAAAGTTGGGATTTACGGAGAAAATCAAGTTTTTAAAGGCCGATTTTGCCTACTTACCGTCGTGAATTGTTTACATCGAGAAATGACGTCACGAGGCAAATTATATGATACGACGCTGCTGCCGTTGACCTTCGTTTTAAAAAGAAATGTATAAATGTACAAATATGGTAATTAGTATCTCTATTATAATATATTATTATGTATCACATATACAAAAAGTTGTTTTGATAATAAAAAAACTCAAAAAAATATAAGAAACAAAGACATGTTACTTGTGACCCGCCAAACAGGTTGATGACGCCCTCATTTGATGACGCCCTCAAATAAAGCATTGCATTTTAAGATACTGTAATATAATGTCCATTCTACGGTAGGAATCAAATGTTTTTTACACTGGAGGATATATTTACGAGTTTGTTCTATATTCTATAGGTCTATTTACCGAAAAAATAATTAAAATGTAAATTTTATCAATTTTAATTATAAATGTACCGTTACCGAATGAAAATATCCAAAATTTGTAGATATTTTTAAGAAATTAGGAGAAATTGAGAAGTTGAGGAGGAGTGTCGGAACTAGAGGATTTTACATGCATTTTATATGGGTCCAGATCTAAATCAAGGAGCATCGATGAGCTTAGATTTGACTTTCTTCGTAGGAAGTGCAAGGAAAAAGATGGGAAGATCAGTGTTAAGAAAAACATTGACTTGGCCAACTTTCCACCGTCACGTAGATGCTTGCGCCCGCATATAAAACGCACAAACTATCAGGGCAAGATCTGGAAGCTCGCACTAACACCGATTTACGAACTCCCGAAACCTGAAGACAATAACGGATGGTGCATTGGTGACAGTGGTTTGCTGGAGCCTTTGTGGTGTGAAGGAGATATTCTTCCAACAGAAGTGATTGATGCCATTGCCGAAAACGACTCCTTTGACTCGGATAAGAACAGTGACGAATAAGATAACGATAGTGATAGTGGACAGGACGATTAATTACATAGAAAATGACAACTACTATAGAAATGATTTTTGTTTGTATTTATAAAAATAATTAACAATTAAATATGTTGACATCGGGAGCATGATTCAGATAACGATAGTAATAGTAAACAGACGATTATCTAGAATTTCATGAGGGTGATAATGAGAGCAGGCCTAAAAAATATTATAACAATTTCAAAAACTGTAAAAGAAAATCTGTTCATTATATGGTGTTAATTGGCCTATTATTTATTATCATTTAATTACTGTAATATTGTTTACACTTATAATCGTAGACTTAATATTATTTATCATCAATCAAGCTTCTGTTTTTTTCTTCTTTTTCCGGTATTATAAAAAGCTTGTGTTTTTCAGTGTGAGATTTACGTTCAGAGTGTTGGACAAGTCCATTTGTAATAAAGTGGTGTACTAACTGAAACACGAACATTAAATAAAATTCTATTACACAACATTCAATTTTTATTATTATTACCTGAATACTGAAAAATAATGTACCCTCTGCATCACCCTGCATACGGTCCTGGTTTCTCGTTATACCGATAGACCTATTATCAGACCACCAAATTTACTACTTAGTACGAGAAACCGGAAAACCATCTTTAGAGTGACGGGTGCTGTAACTGTCATTAGAGATAAGTAATTGAGCGGTATGACAGGGGCACCGCTGGATGTGTGTTTCATGCTTTTACATTGTTTTTACATGCATTTTCGGTCTGACATTCAGTATCACTAAGTATCTATGCTATCTTGTTTGTGATATTTCGAGACTTGTGTTATAGTCGTTTTATAAATTATATGATATGAGTGGTTGTGCATGATTACACAATTTGTATAAATAGAATAGACTTATATATTATGCTATAAATAATTGAGTAGTATGATTTAATTGTTCTCACGTAGTCTACGAAAAAGTAAATTGGTTGTTTTATGTGTAGAACCCTAATAGGCTGCACGTAAATTATAAGAATGACTGTTCGTTTAGGATCCTTATGCTAACCCCATAAGGTAGGGACATAGAGTTTTGTTATGTTGTGATACACTAGGACAGATAAAATCATTCATGACGATGAGGGCACTATTTTTCTATTATTATTTTTACCGGTTTTAGTGTTAATAGAAAGTTTTCATTGTGTATTGCAGGTGGGCTTGGCCACCATCCTTTTTCCTTACAGTGATTGATTACATAGTTGCTAATAAAATATTGCAATGGATCCCCAAATTTGTATGTGTCTGCTGCAATTTATTTTGTGTCAGCCAGGACCACTACTTTTAGAGTGGCATTAATATTATTTGTACTTAAACTTAGTCAATTAATCAATCAATCAATCAATCAATCAAATGCATTTATATAGAGCCGGTATCCATTAGTAATGTTCAAATTAGCTCGACAAAGCACATTCAATGCAAAAATATATTTTTGTTTTTTTGGTATATTGTATTGATAACAAGAATCAACGAGATCTTTCGGTCAAAGACCCAAAATTTCAAGTTATATATTATAACAGCACTAGTTGTAGACGTACAATACACCCTCATCGTAATCTCCAACGTTAGCCACTGATACAAATAAAAATCTAGTTATCAAAATATTTAACTAATCATATTATTAATTTCAGCATGATATACTTCAAGAACTTAGAGTCGCCGGCTGGTTAAAAATGGTAAGACGACATAGACCGATATATACATTATGTAGATACATACTAGCTTTCTTATACTGTTGCAATTCACTGACACTATTTTAATATAATACGTTTAAATACTACTATAGCTTTTTCTACTTATTTAATAAATTGTAAATTCTTCTACTTAAAATAATCATCATAACTCCTATTAAATTTAGTCGAGACTTGCTTCATACCTTGTTTAGCTAAATCTCCGACCCCTAATAATGGTAATTTCGCCGGATTAAAATCTAATAAAAACTAAAATCTTAACTCTATGAATAATTATTATGCAGTAATTATCTCATTATTACACTGTTTACATTCATAAATAAAGTATTATTTCTATTTCCTCTTGCTTTTGGCAAAATCACTTTGCTAAGTAAGATAAAAGAAATATTTATTTTGTCCGCTCTCCACTGACGATAAGTTCGCTGTTAAAACAAGTTATAAATTAATAAGGTCTCGCCTAACTGTTAAACATTGTCCCGTGAACTCAGGGGTGGCACAAGTATGGGCTGGGGCAGGGCCCCCGTCAGGGAGAAAACCCCAATTCATCAGAGAAAAAAAATGTATGTGTAAAGTTGGGTAGTCACTATGCGCGACGGCAACGCGACGACGAATGAACGTGACGACGAACGCACGAGACGGCGCGGAACCAACGGATCACTTTTTATAATGAGGATCCGTGCAGACTGCCACTGACAATCGGCAGACCTTTTAATTTAACTATAATCACTTGGTTTATATTACAGAAATGGCATAACGAGCTTATTCGCTGGGATCCAATTGAATATGATGTCGACTGTGTTTCTATTCCAGTAGATAAAATTTGGAAACCTGATATCACTCTCTACAATAAGTGAGGTTTATGATAACTTGTTCAATGTGTGTTGTTATTGATAATCAATATTATACATTTTTCATATTCATTATATCAGTGTTTTTAATAATACATTTTATATTGATAATAGTTTTGAGACCGATGTTTATAGACGGAAGTGATGAAAATAATGAATTAACGTCAAGCCACACGAGTTCTAAAAATGTGTAGCCTTTTTGGAGTAACGAACATTTATTATTGTTAATTAATTGTTAATTATGTATTTCAGTGGCGTCGCTATAATAGGTGGTGACGGAAATCCAATGCAAGATAATTCAGGCCCTTTAATGTGAAGCCGGGGTTGGGGTGTTCTAAAACGTGAAAAATATACTTGAATAAACTTCAAAATATCAAACGAAATTGAGCTTGCGAACATTTTAATTGCTTAGGAATATGCTTAAAAAATATTTAATAAATTATTATCACCCTCCCGAAGCCGTTCTAAAACGTGAGCAATAGTTAAACAAATTTTAATATCAAACAAAATCGTGCGTGCTGACATTATAATTGCTTTGAAAATCTGCTTTCAAATGTATTTCTGTGGTACATCGTACTTTAGTACGAATCATATTTAAAAAGCATACTAATAAAATAAAATAACCTCTAACTAATTCAAAGGATATGAAGCAGGTTTTTTTTTTTTTTTTTTTTTTTTTTTTTTGCTGAAAAACCTAGGCCCTACAAATGTCATCGTATGTGCAGTGAAGATGATCAGAATTGGGTTGTGGGGTCAAGTGTTTACTGATCCCCGATGTACCCGTATACAATTTTACTGTCATACTACATTATCTTTTTGGTAAAAAACGTAGGGCTACAGAATCATCGTACTTGCAGTGAAGATGATCAGAATTGGGTTACAGTGTCAAAATTTTACTGATCCCCGATGTGTCCATGCCGTCATACCACATTACCGTATATTATTTACTTGAATATGAAGATGGTGTATTACAGTAGTCGTCTCTTTTCGGTCCAACATTAAGTGACTGAACTTGTAGTTAACCGCATTCAGCATTGCAATTTAATTTTTACAGTACTTCCAAAGACTATTACATGTGTTTTGTCCCCTACACGGAAGGTGAAATTGTCCGTTTTGAAAATGTATACAAACTAACATTAAATGTCTAATTTTTCCCTCATATTCAAATAGTGGCGTAACGACCGCAGGTTCAGCAGGTTCATTGAACCTGGCCCCGAGCTCCAGGGGCCTCCAATCTATAAGGGAACCGCTCCCTTATATAAAACAAATCTAACAAAGCAGCGTTTTATTGTGACATTTAACTATTTCCTTCCTTCCAGCCAAGTAATTTGTAACTAAATAACATGGATATTTCGCGATATAGCGTGAAATCTTATTAGGCCTAGCCTCAATTGGTTACTATTCAGATAAACATTATTCTTTTCAGTATCGCCAGATAAAAGTAAAATTTAGTGAATACAATTTGGAGATTTCCATCCTGTTTTGTGTTCTTTTGAGTTTGAAATTTCAGTTCTTAGGCCATACTGTATTACTAAAATAATCGCTAACTTTTTCAAAATTAAGATTTAATTAGATGAATACTGTTTGAATTTGTGTTTTGAGTCCTTGTACGTTAATTCATTTTCATCCCACAAACTTTCGGATTGTGTTTATATTTGTTTTCAACTAATACAAATAATCTGATTTCGATTTTCGAATTTTACCCGTGCATTTGTTTTCAAGTGAACGATTACTATTAAAAGGTGTTTGGCTACCATGTTAATCGTAAAAGTATTTTACTAGATTACGCACATACATACGCCTAATGATGTCAGGTGTGATCCATTGAAATTTATTTAGTTTAAGTATGCAAAACCAATATACAGGATAATTGTTGATGCATTGGTTAATCTAATAAATAAAAACACAATTTCAATAAAAATAGAATGTGCTTTTTCTTTTTTGCCATAATAAGTTGAAATCCTTATTATTTTGGTCAGTCCAGCCAATAGCTTGGTCTTCAAAGATTCCTTCTGGAAACATTTAAATATTTAAAAAATCGTAAGATTTATTGTCAAAATAGTATACAAGATTCGGAGGCCATCTGCTTCTGAACCAATCCATCGGTGGTATGGCAAGCCGTTTTATCATTTACCTCTGAATTGCAGTTAAGTCGAATGCATTACAGTTAACTGTAATTCAATTACAGTTAACTCGAATTGAATTCAAATTAACTGCAATACATTGGAATTGCAGTTAACTTGAAAGTTAACTGCAATTGACCATTTTTGGTAATTTCATTAAGTGATTGTGATTGGCTGCTGTATTTGAGTTAAGTGCAATCGACCATTATATGGGAATTCCATTAAGTGACTGTGATTGGATGTTCACTTATAAGGTATATTTCTATTAAATGATGGTGATTGGCTGTTGAATTTTCCGCCTGTGAATCGTCATCGACTGCCTAGAGCTAGAGAAAAAACTTTTTAATCCTTTTGCTATACGGTTTAATTGTGTTTAAGTGGTTTATTTAAAAAAGTACGAAGTTACCCAAAATCTGGGAGGCATTTGGAGCAAGAGACCACGTCAGGCATAGGCCTAGGCCTTCTACTACTACTGCTGCCAGTGCTACGAGTAGGCCTAGTAGTAGTAGTAGGCCTACTACCACCACGTCTTCTAGGCCTAGTAGTACTACCACCGCGTCTGCTGGACATCATTTAGCTAGCACTGGCGGCAGTAGTACTGACAGTGGTACTAGGTCTAGTATGGGGCCTATATCTGCATCAACTGATAGTTGAAACGGCGTTTTTCTCTTTTTCATCTGCCGCTGTAGGCCTAGGCCTAGACCTACCCCCCATTGCTCCCCTCTACCACCCTCCTCAGTTCGTCCACATGGTCAATCATATCTTGTATTGATTGTACCACTTCCTCCAATGACTGTTGGTCTAGCGTCGCAGAAATCCTATTTACATTACGAATACATGTTCTTAAATTTAAATTATTCTGTAATTGATTATAATCAGTGTTTCCCTGTTCTAATGCTGCAGTAACATTACGAACAGTTTGTCCAACGGTAGAAAGTACATCATCAGAATGATCAGACGCCATTTTTATTAAATTTGAACGACCGTTTTGATGATTTCTTTTTTACCGGGCAAGTACGACCGGAAAAAGCACATCAGCCAATCACAGTTACTTAATGAAAATACACCATAACTGTAATTCAATCAACTGTGGCTGACCAATCATATAGCACTGATATTACGTAAACGCAAACAACCAATCGTATTCACTTAACGCTAATTACAACCAACCCCTGAATTGCAGTTAACTTAAATTGCATTACAGTTAACTGGAAATGATTTGCAGTTAACTTGAAATGCATTCAAGTTAACTGCAAATATTTTCGAATTAAGCCGAAATAGACATAATTGAAATAGATTTGCAGTTAACTTTAAATAAATTACACTTAACTCAAAAAAAAAATTTTAATTGCAGTTAACTGCAATTGAATTCGAGTTAACTGTAATTGAATTAGAGTTAACTGTAATGCATTACACTTAACTGTAATGTATTGCAGTTAAGTCGAATGTATTTCAGTTAACTGTAATTGAATTACAGTTAACTGTAATGCATTCGACTTAACGGCAATTCAGAGGTAAATGATAAAACGGCTTGCCATACGGTGGTACACATCTAGTTGACATGGTCAAATAATTTGTTACTCCTCAACCAGGGCCTTTCACAACACCCCTCCCCCGGTCAAGAACAAAAATACAATTCGTCAGGGAGGAAAACATATATGTAGGCCTATTGTATACATATCAATCGATTAAATAAGCCTTTGAAACCCCCAAATTGTCATATTTTGGATTTTGGTGGTATTATTATTATTATTATTATTATTATTATTATTATTATTATTATTATTATTATTATTTATTATTATTATTATTAATATTATTATTATTATTATTATCGTTATTGTTATTGTTATTATTATTATTATTATTATTATTATTATTATTATTTTCATTTTCATTCGCTGTAAAGCACAAGTGACAAACTTGCTTTCGCTATTTAATTGCTATCAAAATTTTAAAATATATCTTCTACTAAAAACATAACAGTATTTAATCAAGTATAATAAGAGTATTTGGTTGCTGCATAAGGTGGCACTCTTCCCGTTTTAACATTGATCTTTCGAAATACTGATGGATTCAAACTTTTTGTACGGTATGTATGTCTATAAATGATATTAGTTGATAAGTAATGCATTTAACTCCAATTCAGTTAAATACTTGCAAAATACAACTAAACAGTACACATTAGACTAGACTGGTGTCATTTTCACGACCTTTAACATTTTAACTTAAATTCAATTGTATATATAAATAAACTAACCCGATTAAAAAAAATTTTCCTTCCAGCCGCGATGAAGAATTTCGTTATTTCCTGCCGGACGCACCAGTACACGTATGTTCTGACGGTAGTGCGACATACTCAGCATATTCTATATTTCAAAGTTCCTGCAATATTCACATCAAATTATACCCATATGATAATCAAACATGCAACCTAATATTTGGTTCTTGGAATCATGACGTGTTTGAGCTAGACATTAATCCACAGCGTCGTGAACTTGATCAAAAAAACCTCTTCAATGACAACGGTGTGTGGGAACTTGAGAATATCACTGCAAGCCGCGAAATTGAGAAATACAATACTGAATCCAACCCGTATGTGTATGCTATCTTCTCTGTGCATCTAAAGAGACGTCATGAGTTTCAGTGGAGATTTATTTTAATTCCTTATTATATGTGTTCTTTTCTTATCTGCTTCGTGTTCTTTATTCCTGTTGAGAGTGGTGAAAAACTCTCGTTTGGAATCACATCAGTACTAGCGTTGGTAATCTTTCAGCAAATCATTGCGTTTTCTCTGCCGCCGGTTGGAAACGAGGCATCGGTTTTTGGTAATTATATTGTATCATATGTTTAAGCATCATTTTAAAAACGATCCAAAATATCGCATACAGTTGTTTTGATGATGATTAATGTTGATGAACCTTGCTTTTAATTAGTTATAATTGTTATGCCATGGTTGTGAAAAAAATGTTAAACACCTATTCCTCACTAGTGTAATGAATCTCTAAAATTTAACAACAAAAATAGTATGTAGGTGGTAAGGAATTATGTTTTTTTTAATATTTTAAAATGTTAATTACAAATATTTCTCTGTTTTGAAGTGTCTTCGCGTTTTCATTCTCCTTTTAGTGTTTGATGTCTATTTTCAGATTGTATTTGTATCGGCATTGAACGAGTAATGTGTTTATTTACTTCTTTTCATCTTTTTAAGCTTGCCGAGTTAACCAATTTTCCGTATTATTTTTACGTACAACGGAGTTACTTGAATCATTTAAAATAGTTTATCAATATGTAATTGTACATTAAAATTAATTGCGGAAAAAATTGAAAAGAAAAATTCCCATTATTCTGGAGTCAATATATTATAACCAGATGAACGGTGCTGCTCCTGCTTTACTCATCTTTCTTCTCTCACTTATCATCCTCCTCCGTTTCCTCTGTCTCCTCCTTTGATTGCAACATAGGGTGGTGTTTGTTTGGCCCAAAGCGTTTCTTGGATTCAAGTTGATGTATGTTACCTTTCTAAGTTACATTTGCTGTTTTGATTGAAACCTCATACGGTATTAAAATGTCAATTTCTGTTTGCGTGTGACGTTTATTTAAGCTTTTGGTGGGCATAATAGGCACGTTATATTACTTTATTAACTTATCATATTAAATACATAAATTATATTAAATACATAAATAAACATCTTTTGTATCTACTAATTTGTGTATAAATCCCATTCTCTTTTAGGAACCTACTTTAATGCGGTAATCGGTGTTGGGATGGTTTCGATGTTTTTGGAAATTATGATTTGTAATATATATAAGCAAGGGAGTGTGTATAAGGTATGCTTGAAACCTACAAAGTACATTCTCAATAAAATATCCGCGTTATGGAAGTGTATTAGACAAACAAAAGCGAATGAAACACGCAGCCCGGAAGGTGGAACTGGTGTGGAAAAAGAAGAAGACTCTGAACAAATACAAGATCAAGATCAACAAGAAAAACAAACACCAGCAACAGCAGCAATGGCATCAAATGACAGGGACAACAATGAAAAGGAACTACAAGCACTCTGGGATTATATTGATTCCCTACTAGGAATCGTGTGTTTTATAGTGTTGGTGATATTAACGATATATTTCAATGTGGCATTATAAATGACATATAATTTGAAAATATCATTGCAATGTTTATTTGTTAATTCTCTATTCTTTCATTATTGCAAATGTCTTGGTAGCATTTTGCATTTATTATTATTTTGTTTACACTCTTCTTTATTATTCAAAATAAAATGCATAATATTTTTTTTAACATTTACAAGAAGAACATATACATTTATTATGAGCGTCATTGTGATTGTTATAGAGCTACATGGTGAATTGTGATTATGTAAACAACCTTCACGTATTATTGACAATAAATGATTATATCTATTCGTGCAGCCAGATAAAAACAACAAAATAATCAAAATCTATTACAATATCTGCATGGTGTATACTTGATATAGATATGATAAATATTTATTGTCGAAACGGTATAATACATAGTTATGAGGTATTAGTGAACATAAATGATGTTTTTTAAATATTTGAAAAATAACTTGTATATTATAAATGGCCAAGTACAGGTAATCTAATCATGGAAATACACGGAAATCATTCCGTGTATTTTGTTCCAGAATTAATTTTAAGAAGTTTAAAGTCAATTGTTAAAAATTCAACAAAACCAATTAAATAATGTGAATTTTGATTGTTTATAATTTTTTTTTCTTCTATAGTATGTTATTTATCTGATATAATTATTGGTAGTTAGACCCACTGTTATCATCCTCTTATGACAAAGGTAACATACAATGTGATATAATTTTTCTGTTGTGGTTTTTATTCGTAATCATTATCATTTCAATTTATAAGTAGGGTGTAGTTCTATTATAAAATAATAACAACAACAATAATAACAATAACAATGACAATAATAATAATAATAATAATTATAATAATAATAATAATAATAATGTTATATTTATATAGCGCATATTGCACATTTTCCCTATGCGCTTTAAACAGAAATAATAATATAGGCCAACCGAGAAAAAAGTAACAATAAAATAAGAACAATAAAATAGCTTAGAATTGGAATTCAGTATGTGTAATAGAGGGGCGTATAACAAAGACGGCTCAGACCGCTGACTTGTATAAAGATAATATCTCTATTATTGTGAAACTTCCGGTCGAAATGCTTTGTGAGAGGATGGAGTTCATAGGAAGTAATTTTACTTCATCCGAGCTGCGGCGCTATATCGTTATGATCAAGGCGCCAGTCTGATTCGTTTGTTTTCTTAGTTCCTCCATTCTGTCAAATATTATTCCACTGGAGGGAGGGCGGATGTTACATCAATTTTAATGCTAACTACGCAAAGAGCTCATTCATATAAAATCTATGCTTGTGCTGCGAAAAGCATGCAGCATTCTATTAAATTGTTCATAACCACCTGTGTAATATGTAATATTATTCATGAACCTGATTACAACAGCATGACAAATGTTTCGCCCACCAACGTACGCATAACAACAGTTCATTTCTTTCTTTTTTTTTGGATTTGACCACAAATTCAGCTAGTAATCGATTGTAAAACAGCGTTTACCATGTCGTCTATATATGTTATCCTGCATAAATAAAATAAATAAATACAATCAAATAAAATAAATAATATAATAAATGAATAAAATAATGAATGAATGTAATGAATTAATAAATGAATAAATGAATGAATGAATGAACGAATGAATGAATGTATAAATGAACGAACGAACGAACGAATGAATGAATGAATGAATGAAAGGAGTTAATTAGCTCAGTAGTTAAGATGCTTGCCTTCTAATCCCAATGTCCTGGGTTCAATCCCTGTTATAGCAGGAATTTTTCTCACGACTGAAAACAACTACACTCACAAAGCCTTCTAAGAGATTTCGATGCATCACATTATTTCATTTATTTAAAGAGGGCCCTTGACTTATTCTGTCAACTTTTCAGTTGCTTGATTGTGGATATTACAAAAGTAGAAAATGTTATCTAAAGTTTCAATACCTGAGACATGACTGTCATTATTGTTATTTCATTTTTATGTATCGGCATTTCTTGTGTGTTTATTTATACTATATTTTCAAGTTCTTTATATTTTTGCTATGGTTATTATAGATAAAAAAAACCGCTTTACTAGTTAGTAGTGATTCATATGCATATTGCTATTGTATACATTTTGAACGTTATAGTGCACACAATGACGTGACCGTAGCCTTATAATAATAATAATAATAATAATAATAATAATAATAATAATAATAATAATAATAATAATAATAATAATAATATGCCTATATTAGTTGTTTAATGTAGGTTTTTCTTATTCAATTGGCATTTTATTTTTCCTTTTTGTGTTTCTTGTTTATTGTATTTGCATGTATGCTTATAGGTTTGCACTCTGGGATTGATGTGAGTCTTTATATTGAAATAAATAAAAAATGAAAAAAAAAATACGCCATAGATTCAGTGGCGTAATAGGTATGAGCGTTCACTGCCAAAAGCCAGGGCCCCCAAAACATAGGGCTCCCGGCATATCTATCAGTTTTGCTTAGGGCCCAAGGATGTTCCTCAGTATTACCTTGGCTTTTATAATGAGCAAAATGTATAAAAAATACACCTTGAAAAAGCCAACAACGCCTAAGAGGGCGAGGATTGTTTCTGTCATTACGCATACCCAGCCCCAAGGTTATGACTTGTAAAATCGGTACGTTATACCCAGTCGCATCTCTCAAGTCTGAACATAACTAAATTGAATCGCAGGTGGTCATATCTTGTGTACACAAACTATTATGTTAGAGAAGTGTTTATATTTATTGATAAGGACTTCGTATCTGAAATAAAGAGAACTGAATTGAATCGAAGTACGACATACTTGTTTATTTTTGAAGGTTTATAATATTTGACCAAGTACTTGTGATAAACCACAGAGTCCTATACACATTTTTTTGCTGTTTCAAACAATCGACGAAATCAATTCAAAATACATATTTGTTTGTCTTGTATTTTATAGATATTTGATATCTTTCAATGTTTCTTGGTAAATTCTGTAATGTAAATTTTGAAAAACGAGTTTAATGTATTTACAATTATATATTCTACACCTGTATAACTTTTTATGGAGTATTGTTTTGTTTTTTTTATATCTTTCATATAATGGCAAATTCACTAAAATCATCTTACTCAATCAATCACTATGAGCCAAAATGAAATATATTTTCTTGTGTCATAGTAAACGGAGTTATTGTTTTAAAAAACAATGAGTCTCTCGTAACGGAGATGATTGTAAACAGCATTGGACCACCGACAAGTCGACCTGTACTCGATGTGTCTTCAATAGTGAATGTAACAGTATCATTTGTGTTAACCCAAATTATTGAGTTGGTCAGTTTGATTAAATTCAAAAATAACACACACACACATACACCCCCTCCCCCCACACACACATCGAATGCACAAATTATACGTATACCTTGACATAATAGACATAAAGAAGGCTTTATTTCGAATATTTCTAGCACTCTTGCTCTTCCTTAGCTATAACACGTATAATAAAAAAAAGTTTTTTTAATCATACGTGTTATCGCTGAGAAAGAGCATAGAAGTGCTCGAATTATTAGAATTAAAAACTCGTACGTATACATATTAAACATGCGTTAAATAAGAGGAATCTGCAATTGTGAAAAATGTGACCCAACTTCTCATCTCTCATCAACATTAAAACCACATCACCTTAAGTCCTAACGCTTATCTACAAACTCAGAAAGGCAAAGTTGACGTCTTATAGGGGCATTATTTTATTTGGCACAAATATTTCGTCTTGTCATCAGGACTTTCTCAACGTGAATGTATATATATATATATATATATATATATATATATGAAGAAGGCGTGTCAACGTGTGTTTCGAAACATATGTAAAATATAATATAACGTAACAGTAAAGAAACTCAAATACGTAAGATGTTGACTTTAGAAACACTAAAATTTATTAGGCGAATATTTCGGCTACTCCTGTAGTCTTTGTCAACGCTTGACATAAGGTTCTGCAAAGACGAAACTATCTTAGCAATATACAAT